TCCAGGCATTTTGATAAAAGAGTAAAGAAAAATGTTGGATTCCTTTAGGAAAAAAACATTCTTTTTATTCTGATGCATTTTGTAAATAAAAAGAATTCAAAGAACACTGATCAGAGAATTGACTTAGGAAAAACCAGAAAAAAGTCAGAATTTCAACCAAACTAATAAAATTGTACTCATTCAAGTAATAGTATGACAGTTTTCTGTTTTTAAATCAAAATAAAACAACACTACATTTGCAATTCAATTTTGCAAATTGATCAAGAATTCATGAAGTAATCTCGGGATAGATTAAGGTCCTGGGATAGGCAGTGAGTGGCGCCTTTTACTCATAATATTTGTGAAAATGGCTTCGTATTTGAAAGAAAGGGAACTGGGAGGCAGAGAAATATATTAAGGCAATACTTAAAAGGTAAAAATTATTAATCAGTGTTCTGAATGTAGCCAGAAACATTTAAATGATGTTTGTATTATTTTAAAATTATAAACAGCATGAATCTTATTTTAGAAGGGCTCAATATATTTACCCCTTCTACACAAAGAAATACAGATATTTTTAAAACTCAATGAAAAATTACAAGACAAAATTACACAACAAGCCTAAAATAAAAGCCTAAAACATGATGATGAGTAAACACAAGTGCATGCAGTTCACATTTGTCAGGGGGAAGAACATTTTGTCTCCCATGATTATCTGTGAAACTTATTAATAAATATATGTTTAAGAATATTATATAACCAGGATTTGCCCTGTTTACCCTATTTCTTCTGCTTGAATGGGTCAAACTAGGATAAATAGGTCGTAGATTGATATAGTCTCATGTATGCATAATTAAAAGAATGATATAACTACTCTATTATTAATAATCAACATTTATATATTAACTTATTTAACCACCTTAATGTAATCACTCAAGGTATCAAGTGCAGCCTTAACAAAGTTTTATGATTAGTTTGAGAAAAATTAGTACACTGAGGTAGGTAAACATGCATTTTTAAAACCACCTTTTTTATACTTAAAATATGTATATTTCAAATAGCTAAAAATGGTATTTGAGTGATATAATGAATTGAATGGAATGATATCTCCACATCCAGGTCTCTGAAACCTGTGAATTTTACTTTATTTGGATAAAAATTTCTTCCCCAATGTAATTAAATTAAGGGTCTTAAAATGAGATCATCCTGGATTACCCAGGTGGTCCCAAAATCCAATGACAAATGTCCTTACAAGAGACAGAGAGGAGAATGCACAGAGACACTGAAAAAACAGGCACATAAAGAAGAGGCAAAGACTAAGATACGCAGCCACAAGCCAAGAAATCCTTGAGGCTACCGCAGCTGGAAAAGGAAAGGACAAATTCTTTCTTGGAGCCTTTGGAAAGACGGGGTGGCCTGCCACACCTGATTTCATACTTCTGGGCTCCAGAACTGTGAGAGAATAAATTTGTGTTGTTTTAAGTCATTACATTTGTGGAGATTTGTTATGGCAACCCCGGGAAACAAATACATATGGAAATTAGGAATAAAATTTTTGTCTAAAAAAAAAATAAGTGTTAATTCAAACCTTAGGGTAATAAAAAGAAAATCAGAAGCTGTTATCCATTATTACATCCACTTTAAAACTTCCAGATACACTAGAATAGTTCTACTTATTCCAAGTATAAGGAAGTATCAATTATGCCTTCCTTTCAAGACTGTGTCTCCTAAAATACTCCAATCATTAATCATCTAGGCTCTCTGAGCTCCCCGCACTCCAGGTACCCATTCACTCTGTGATTTTCCCTAGTGAAGTTATATTTTAAGTTTTCATCAACTCTCTGGTACAATCTGTAAGGTAATCATATGTGATTAATTTTAAGTGTCTTTACAAAATGTTGATAAACTATAAAAATCAAGCTAATTGTTTTACCTTTGGACCTTGTCTTCCTGGATATCCTGGTAATCCTGGAACTCCAAGTTTCCCCTAAAGTTAAAAAAAATGATAATAAAAGTACTTGAAGTTGAATTAAGTTTAAAAGACAATTTTAATCATTTTTCTACATATTCGAACCACACATTTGCACACTCAAAAGGAAGATTTGCAAATTTTAACCTACTATATTTTCACTATATTTCTTCACGTGAATAGAAAAAGAAAATTGCTGCTTTTGACATATTTCTAATGCTATAATGCTGTCCAATTTCACCTATGTTGTACAAGTGACAGTGCCTTCTTTGGAGACATAGAACCTTGAGCTAAAGAGAACTCTAAACCCCTTTGTGAATTCTGAAGCATGACTAAAAAATCTCCTAAGCTTTTTCAACATTAATTACTACTTTCAGTTAGTTTATATACCTGGAACATTTATATTTTATCACTCCAACTAGACTAAATTTTTTTGATAAAGTCACTTTGTATATCTCAGTCTAAATATAAAGCAAGTGATCATGAGCTATTTAACTTTTTCTCAATGAGTAATAAAATTTAAATAGATATACAAAGAAATCTGGAACCACATTTTGAGTCAATTTTTTCTTTTATTCAAATATCTGGGAATACCTGGACTAATAAATATAATGTGTGTTGAGAGCTATAGTTAATTATAAAGATTGTTTTGTATAGTGTTAATTCCTCAAGCTAGGTACTTGAATATGCAATTAATGTTGTTCCATGCAATGAGATTTTCTCACTTGAAAATGATACAACAAATTGTAAGTTATAATGAAGTCCAACAATGCATAACAAATACTAAGCAGTTTAAAATATTAAAATAACAAAATTAGCCTCCCAAAAATGCTTTCTGAAGGAAGCATTAATAAGAAAATACAGGTAGAGAGATAAATAAAATAAATTAATTCAATAAAATATATTTATGGAAACTTACTGCACATTATTTTCCTTAATAAGATACTTATGAAAGCATACTCCATTTATAAAATATTGTTTATTAATGTCTTAAACATTAGCAAGCATAAAGAATCAGTATTCCCAATGTACATTTAAAAAAACTAAGAAAAGAAACAAACACAAGTCCAAATTAGTATATGCAATGTTAAAAGATGAGTAGAACTTTATGACAAAATAAATATTTTACTGGATGAAGCAAGGCAAGAAATTAAAAACATATTTTATGAAGTTGTTATTATATATTGAACTAAAGAGTTATCTGAGTCATGATCAACACTGCATAGATAAGTAGTCTTCAGACAGAAAATATTCAAACTCCTAAGAAGCATACTTTTAATGATGTCCCCTTGGATACATCGAGTTATCATATCTTGTTTTATGTCATCGATTTCAAGGTTAATGAAATTCTTTAGTTATGATCACAAGCGATTTGTGTTTTATGCTAACTACTATGTTAGAATTATACTCTTACTCATTTTAGAGTCATTTTAAAATAAACTCAGATAGGAAATTTATATTTTCAATATGATTACAGACAACTACAAAAAAGGGACAAATACTAAGGAATGTCATAGAATAAGAATTGTGGAGCAATTTAAACTCCTGATGTCTCAGAACAGTTTGTGTGAACATTTACACATAATAAAGAAGGGCTCAGAAGACAGGAAAGTCCCAGAATAGTCTTTCACTATCGGCAATTGAGCACTTTAAATGGAAGGGTCTAAAGGCCTAGTAAGCCCTTATTTGTCCCTGATCTTTTCTCCTGCTGCTTAGAGACTACAGATTGTTCATCGATTCACAAATGACAACTTTGTCCAAGTGTGAAACTGTAGAAATTTCAAGGTGTGGAACTGTGTAAGAACTGTCACATCAGATAATAATGACATGAGGAAATTTTTTTGTATTTTTCTATTCACAATCTCTATATAATACCTATATATTTGCTTTCTGGGATTGAATGGTAGGAAGGGGTAAAATTATTATTTTCTTAAATAGCAAAGAATTTATCTTGTAGAATAATAACATGATCACTGTAGAAAATGTAGACATATATATATAAAAAGGGAATCATTCAAATTATATCAGCAAGATTATTATTATTTATATTTTGCTTTAGTATACATAATAGGATAACACTTGTCATAGACATTTATAGTTTTTTTTTCATTTAAAATCACAGTACGTTATAAATAGTTTACTATACCACTAAATAGTTTATGAAGGCATAATCGTAATGTTCTTTAATATTATATTTAAATAATGGTGGCAAATATTGTTGACATAATTCATAATGCCCAGTGTCTCTAAAATCAATGAATATTAGAATTATCTGGGGACATTTGAAAGCATAATGATGTCTGTGCGAACACAAGATTAAAATTAAAGTCTTTCGAAGTAGGATCTGATGACAGTATTTTTAAAACACCTATCCTGTGAAAATACATGTTTAAGTGAAAAAAATAGAAAACTGTACATTTTGGTTTGAAGGGCAAAGATAATTTTACTTGGTTCAAAACCGTAAGTAGATCATTTTCATTCTTTCATCCTTTAACCATACTCAAATTCTCCAGTGTGGAAGAGCTGTAAAAGTGGCTGATCTTGCATGGCCTACGATAGCAGAAGAGACTGGAAGGGATGAGTGCAAAAAGATAGACGTACCCATCTTAGCAGTATTTAATGGAAACCCCTAGATTTCTGACATAAGTGATTTAAACTATTTTAAAATGATGATGGTGCACCATCTGCAAGAGACCTATAAATTCAAAGTCATTTACTAACCTTTTCTCCTGCTTGACCAGCAGGACCAGGGTCTCCAGTTGGGCCTGCTCGGCCCTTGGGGCCTTCAGGACCATCTTCCCCTCTTGGGCCTAGTTGACCAACTTCTCCCTACATAACAGAATAACATTCTTGTAACTTAAAACATATCTGGAGATAGAAGGGCACAGATTACAGCGTATCAGAAAGTCAGATTCTTCAACTTTTGGTCTGTTTACCCATGTTTTGTTTATGATAAAGAGGTTTCAAAGTGTTTAACTTCATCACTGTCTCTGTTATTGAATAAAGAACTGAATATAGTCTGATATTAGAAAACCTACAGAAGCCTGATGGTACCATATATGACATTAGGTTGCTTTTAATACAACTGTGTTGCACAGAGAGAGAGAAGAGAAAATCGGAGAATAAAGATTGGCTAGCTATTCTGGAAATCACTATATGGAACACAAGAAAAATGTCCTCATTTGGACGTGGTGTTTATCTTTAAGGTATTAAGAAGTAGGATACGGCAGTTACTACGTCCCATCCTGGACTCAGGCTTCATGTGAATTTTAGGGAAATAAAAGTATTCTGCATTATGCCCCTTTGCTCAGATATATGAGGTAATATGATATTAATTATA